GATCCCAGGACCCTGGGATCATGACCTGAGCCGAAGGCAGACGCTTAACCGACTGAGCCACCCAGGCGTCCCTGGCTTTCACTTTTGTTGGAGATCCGTTGTTCACATAACTGTTGGTCCATTTCTGGACTGAATCCTGTCCCTGTGGTGTGTTTGTCTGTCTGTGTGCCACTACCAAACTGTCTTGATTACTACAGCTTTATATAAGACTCGAAATCAGATAGTGTTAGTCTCCCAAATTTGTTCTTCTTTATCAAAGTTGTTCAGTGATTCTGGGTCCTTTACAATTCCATATGAATTTTAGACTCAGCTCAGTTTCTACAGAAAAGGCTGTTGATATTTTGATTGGTATTATATTGAATCTATAAATCCATTTGGGGAGAATTGACGTCTTAACAGTTTGGAGTCCCTGACCCAAGAAAACTGTATTTCTACACATATTTAGGTCTTCTTTAATTTCTCTCCGCAGTGTTTTGTTGTAGCTTTCAGCATACAGATCTTACACATCTTTTGTCGGATTTATTCCCAAGTATTTTGTATTTTTTGATGCTATTATAAATAGTATTGTTTTAAATTCCAGTTCTTAATTATTTCTTGCTGGCATATAGACATACAGTGGACTTTTGCATATTAAACTTGCATCCTGACAACTCACCTATTAGTTCTAGTAGCTTTTAAAAACGAATTTCATATTTTTCTACATAGACGATTGTGTTGTTTGTGAATAAAGACAATTTCACTTCTTCCTTTTCCAGCATTAATATCTTTTATTTCTTTTTCTTGCCTTATTGCTGTTGGGTCTCCCACATTCCTGCGTGCTTGCTGGGTATGCCAAGACTTCATTGCTGTGACTGCTCTTTCCACAGACTGCTTCCCAGGGTTATATATGCTGTGAGCATCCGTGTGAGATGGTGGCATGTTCCCTTATGAACAGAGAGCGGGCTTGCTTATCGTTTACTCTGAAAATAGATTACCCACGTTCAGCGGTTCCTTTCCTGTAAGCAACCCCCTGTGTGTGCAGACATCTCTGAGCTCTCTGTGTCACCCTGTGGGGCTTTGGGCTTTGGGGTAAGGGGGAATCACATGGTGCCCTTTGCTGTGCCATGAATAATCAAGTCCTTTCTGTCTGACCCAGGATTCTCCTGTGTCCTGCCAGCATTCATAAAACAGCAACAGGCTAACTTACTTCTGGGTGGGGTAAAATCAGATCTCAGTGCCTGACAACTGTCCCTGCTAACACCTCCAGATCAGTGCTGAATAGACATCCTTGTTCCCTCCCTGATCTTGGAAGGAAAGTACCATTCTTTTTCCACAAGTGTGATGTTAGCAGTAGGTTTTTCACTGATACCCTTTATCTGGTTGACGAATTTCTCTTCTGTTCCAAGTTGGCTGGGAGGCTTTCTCAGGAATTAGTGTTGTGTTTTGTTATGTTTTTTCTCTATTACTGTGTGGGTTTTTTTTTTTTTTCCTTTTAGTTTCTTAACAAGGTGAATTATATTGATTGACTTTCAGGTATTAATTCAACCTTTCATTCCTGGGATTGACCCTCCTTGGTCATGATGTATTATCCATTTTTGTATATTGTTGGATTCTAGTTGTTAAAAGTTTGTGAAGAGTCTTTGCATCTATGTTAATGACAGTTACTATATTTTTCTCTTTTTAAAAAAGTTTTTGTCGCTTTCTGTGTTGGAATGATCATGGACTCATAGAATTAGTCCTTGCTCTTTGGTTTTTTAGAAAAATTTAGAATAACCAACTCTTTAAATGTTCAGTTGAATTGACCCATGATGTCATCAGGGCCTGGAGTTTTCCTTCAGGAAGGTTTTAACCTACAAATTCTTATTTCTTTCATAGATATGGATGCGTTCGTATGTTTCTCCTTGAGTGAGCTGTGGTAGTTTGTGTCTTTTAAGAAATTTACTCATTTCGTCTCAGTTGTCACATTTACTGATATAAAGTTGTTCATAGTATCCCCTTGTTATGCTTTAAATATCTGTAGGATATCATTCCTGTTATTGATCATTTAGTCCTTCTCTCCCCGCCTCTCCCTGTCCTCCAATCTGATTAGAGGTTTATCAATTCTGTTGATCTTCTCCAAAAACTTGCTTTTAGTTTTGTTGATTTTCTCTATTGATTTGATTGGTTTTGTTTCCTATTTCCTTGATTCTTACTACGATCTTTATTGTTTCCTTCATTCTACTTTTAGTTTTTAAAACTATGAAGAATACGTGTGTTTGTGTATGCACACACACGTGTGTGTAGTTTGTTGACAACATTCCTAAAAGTTGTCAGAATTGTCCCTTATGTTGATCGAGATTACATACAAATCCTTGGAACTTTTCCATAGTTCATCTGAGAGCAATGTTTTATCCTGTGTGTTTAGCATTCTTTAGAAACTGGAGTTTGGAAGAAAAATTACAGCACCATATGTTTGCCCAAATGGCAGACATATGCAGGAGTGAATGATTACTCACGAATGATGTCATAAGAAGGGCCTTCTTGACGGTCTGAATTCGGGGATGTTTATGTTTATGAGGTCGGGGTTGTGATCGAGCAGAAGGGCTCTACTGAAATGTTAATGCCAGCACTATATTCAAAGTATGATTTGACGTGGGATTTAATTATGAGAAAGGCTGTTGATACAGCAAGACTAATTTCCCCATGTAGCTGCTGGGACTGGTCCCGTCTAGGGACACTGTAGTCCCGTCCCTTCTGTCTGTCTGGCATTCAGAGGAACTCAAGTGGTATCAGGCCGTCCAATCGGCCCGTGGGACCGACAATGCTCGACAGCATTGCTTCAGCTTAGTGTGGACCTTGGAGATGAAGGTACAGCAAGACGATGGTGCCTTTTCCATAGAGGGGCCCGTGATGCCGGGCGCTTCGCAGGACTCAAATTCTGACGTTTCAGAAATTCCTGTGGTGCTGTTTAAAAACACTGATACCTCCTGCAGTACCCCTCCCCCGTCACACCCCCCTACGCACGCACGCACACACAACAGGACTCAGCGTGTCTGGGGTGGGCATTTGATTCTCTCGTATTCTAGAGGCTGAGAAATAGTAACCTGGGTAACCTCAGGAACTTTGACGTCTGGTTTCTCCAGTGTTCTCTGATGTGAAATCATAAGGATGATAGTGTCTGCCCATGGCACTCACAATCCACCCTTGATTAAGACATGCTTTTCCTTTTTTTCTTTCTTCTTTTTTTTCCCCCGTGTTCTTTTCTAATGTTCTCTGGGATTGATTGACTTCTTTTTTTTTTTTTAAGATTTTATTTATTTGAGGCAGAATGAGAGAGAGAGCATGAGAAGGGGGGGGGTCAGAGGGAGAAGCAGACTCCCTGCTGAGTAGGGAGCCTGATGCGGGACTCGATCCCAGGACTCCAGGATCATGACCTGAGCCGAAGGTAGCCGCTTAACCATCTGAGCCACCCAGGCTCCCAGATTGATTCACTTTTTATCACTATTTAATTAGAGCTTTGTCAGTTCAGGTCACCTGCCTGGGACACTCACATTTCCTCGTGTGTGAGTGAGAGGGGTGCGTGAGTTACTGAGTTAGTGAAATGTGACCTTTCCTACTGCTCTTTTCCTCCTCCTTGTGGGAATGTGGGAGACCTTTATCTTATTTTCCAAATCTCATTGCTGTAGCACTTCCTGGCGTCCAGGTTCTGTGGAAATTCTGTTGCCTGTTCATGGTCAATATACTGAGACCAACCGTTAAATACTTTTATGGTTACAGAATTTTTGGACTATTTCTTGTACAACTGAAACACCTATGATTTTTTTTTTTTTTTAAACTATAAGGTTAACTTTTTGCTATGTCATGGGATGATTTTGGCAAACCACCCATGGCTGTTTCTGCTAGAAGAATGAAAAACACTTTACCAATCTGTTGACTGGCATTTATTCAAAAGTGCTTAAATGTTTAGCCAGGTTGTTCTACCTTAAAAAATGGAGGCAGGGTGGGGTTGGAAACTCGAATCTTAAGTAAGATACTGCTGATTATTACTTTATTTTGATTATTTTATATTATATTTAATTATTATTATTTTATTTAAATAAGATATTGCTGATTCTTATTTTAAATGTGTACTGGAGGTCGTGATTATGTCCTGCTAGGTGGCTAAGCCGGAATTGTTGCAAGCATTCAGTTTTTCCCCAGCTGAACTAGGAGGGACAGAGGTATTTGAAAGAGAGTTCTTTGTCCTGGTGAAATGGTTTGCTGTGTTAGTGTCCCCTCTATCTCTCTGTGGCAATCTTTCCATCAGCCCAAGGTGGTGACATATTCTGCAGGGCTGTGTGCTGCCTTCGTGTCAGCTTGGATCTGAAGGCCTCGTTTCTTCCCCTCGCCTGTCACCTTTTTTTCTTCCCTGTCATTCTCTTCAATCCTGTGCAATTAAGGATGATTAGGTGTTAAGACGAAGCAGAATTAGAATAAGCTAATTACTAATTACTCACACCCAAACTGTGAACTGAATAGATAGATGCACTAGATGTGAAGAAAGTACAAGTGCCCTGTAGTGAAAAATATAATTACCCACGGTGGGAATGTTGGGGGCAGGGTGTGGAGCACAGACACGGTGGCTGCGTCCCAAAGTATCTGGCTCTTTAAAACACAGATGTGTGCATATGGGACATCGGAGCCTAGCTGCACAGAGCAACTTTAATTTGCTGAAGATACTTCGTTGAGGTGTCCTGGGGTTGAACAGTAAATAGCCTCCAGATACAGCAATGCTTGCTGCCTTTTTGGGGAGAAATATTCCTTGGGCCACCTTCTAGAAGACCAGTGCGTGAAAATTAGGATTAATTTTTTTTTTTTTTTAATATGGAGAGCCAACTAACTGACACAGAGGTGATACGTATTGAGAGAGTCCTTTGGGGTGCTTGTGGAAAAGTAACATTTTAAGGTCTCAGATCATTTAAGTCTTTTTTTTATCTCATCATTTTGGCAAATAAATTGCATTACTTTTCCTTTTTTTAAATAGGGATTTATTTATTTGAGAGAGAAAGAGAGCACAAGCAGGGGGAGCAGCAAGCAGAGGGAGAAGCAGGCTTCCCGCTGAGCAGGGAGCCCGGTGCGGGGCTTGATCCCAGGACCCTGGGATCATGACCTGAGCCGAAGGCAGATGCCCAACGACTGAGCCACCCAGGCGCGTGCATTGCTTTTCCTTTTAATGTTAACACTTTGAAAGACAGATGATTATTTTTAATTTAGCTAATTTTAGGACAGTGTAAAACAAATCTAAAAACTGCTTTGTTAACCTAATTGGCTAGTTGCACATTAAGTGTAGTATTCCCCCATCATATTTTTGTACAAGTTATGTACCAGCAGGAAGTAAATATGTGAGGCTATTTTGATGCAGTGAAAATCCAAAGGGATTGCATTTAACATGAATATTTTTGAGATCCAAGATAATGGTATTTTTTTTTTTTTTAATGAGGTTGATTCTCTTTATTTGAAATGTGTCCATAAACAACCTGCTGCCCTTTGCGACCTGCTCCTTTTCTCAGGTTGACTTATACTTATTTACAGTATGAGCTCTATGACCTCAGTGTCAACATTTTTGGTGGTAAGCTTTGGACATTTCCCAGCAGTTAATTGGAATGATCCTTTGCCTAGTCCTGAACGTTATGACTTTGTTTGTGTCATATAATCCTTTCCAAGAATTCTCTCTTTTTAGAGAAGTTGAAATGTTTATAAGCATTTGATTTTTCTTTTGTTGCCAGGCAAAAGGTTTTTAACGTTTCCGTGAAGTATCTCATAAGGGGTCTTGTTTTTAAAACATGTCAAAAAAAAAAAAAAAAGTAATGATGAGATTGCCCTCAGCTACTTACCAAAGGAGGTATGCTTACTTATTCCAGATAGTAGGGATCTAACAGACTTGGTAAGACCACATCTTGAGACAAAACCTTGGTAAAAGGAGAAGTAATGTGTGAATGTGAATATCCTGTCTCCATCACATGGCTGGGGGGTTGGGTGGGGAGGGATCCTGTTTGAATTTTGCCTTTACAAACACTTGTTTCAGTTTCTGGATGTTTCTTTTTTTTTAAAGATTTTATTTATTTATTTATTAGAGAGCGAGCGAGAGAGAAACAGCATGAGAGAGGAGAGGGTCAGAGGGAGAAGCAGGCTCCCCGCTGAGCCGGGAGCCCGATGTGGGATTCGATCCCAGGACCCTGGGATCATGACCTGAGCCGAAGGCAGTCACTTAACCAACTGAGCCACCCAGGCGCCCAGTTTCTGGATGTTTCTGACAACCATTCTACCCTCTACCCAAACAGTTCCTTGAGTCTTTTTTTTTTTTTTAAAGATTTTATTTATTTATTTGAGAGAGAGAATGAGACAGAGCATGAGATGGGGGGAGGATCAGAGGGAGAAGCAGACTCCCTGCTGAGCAGGGAGTCCGATGCGGGACTCGATCCCGGGACTCCAGGATCATGACCTGAGCCGAAGGTAGTCGCTTAACCAACTGAGCCACCCAGGCGCCCAGTTCCTCGAGTCTTAACTAAGGGTGTTATTTTAAGGAAGTGCTTCTTAAAAAGCTGGTATTTTATTGGTATAGGTCAGTGTGAGTATATCGTTTATGTAACTTAAAACCCAAAATTCAAGGCTCCGTACTGATTACTAAGCAGCGTCCAACCCGATTCTTGCAGATGGTGGTGGAAACTGAGAAGTACAACATCTCCATGAAGATGGCATCGCCCGAGGACGTGAGCGAAGTGCTAGCCCACATCGGCACCTGCCTGCAGAGGATATTTCCTGGCCTCTCCCCAGTGTGAGTGCTTGGGGGGAAGGGCGAGCAGAGCAGAGAACGTCCTCAGAGCAGTGGATGAGAATGCGCCTTCCCCTCACGCGTCCTCCTCCACTTAAACATTTCGACAGCAAACCCTCACTTGGGCCCTTGCGTTCGACGTCTGAGGTTCTCTGCGGGGCTCTGCTTCATACTGTACTTCCAAGAGCTTGAGCCATGAAGGGTTTGGCCACCCTTTCACCTCTGCTCCCAACACTGAAGCAGAAACCTTTTTGACATAACTTGCGATGTACCCTAGTGGGACTAATCCTCATGGCTCTTAGTGGAACCAGGGGCTCAGTGCTTTGCAGGAAGGCATCGAGGACACTATTCATGAAGAGTAAGAGGCTTCATTTTCCTTTTTTTTTTTTCCTCTTAGTTTTCTGAAACACACGTTAGGAATATTAGTAAATTGTGTCTGTGCATGCCCTCATAATTCTTTGTTAAGCACTTTTCATCAGGATTATGCGCTTGGGTAACCGAGTTTGTCCTTAGGGACTGTGTGGGTTGTTGGAAGGGGGGGTGGGACTGGTGGAGGTAAAAAGGCAGAAAGATCCTATGTCAGAAAGCTCCCTAATTTAATAGTCCCTAGCGAAAATACCTTTCTGCTAGAAGGAGACGGTACAGAGACTGTAAAAATCCCTCTCCCGTTGCTCGCCCTGTGTACGGAGGCCACGAAGCCTCACGGGGACACGTTGAAGATGGGGAGCTGTGTGTCTTGCTTGACAGGAGCAGGAGGGAAATTTCGGGGACTTGCCCTTTATGGAACATGTTCCTTACGATGCTCTGCCTCCTCATGAAGAGGCAAAGCAGGAAAACCTAGCCTTGTGTCTTTCAAGCCTTTTGGGTGCCTGCAGGTGGTTTGGTGGAGATGGGGCTTCCTTACAGTCTCTGGCTTTCCGAGACCTGCTGGGTTCTTCTAACAGCTCTGCGCGGCGCTCTCTCTTTTCTTCGCCTCCCGCCAGCATGGTGGGCTGGCCTGTGCCTTCTGGCTATTCACCCAGTGCTTCCTCCTCTGCAGCCTTGGGCTTCTCGTGCTTCTCTGAGCGACTGGCTAGCTGGTTGCAGAGGAGCGGAGTGTCCGCGGCCTCATCCCGTGGCACAGAGGGTTCGAGTGGGGCTGTCCCCTAGCTCCTGCCTGCCTGGACTTTCCAGGTCTGAAGCCTTAAAGGCAGGCTCCTGCAGGGTGCAACCACACTCTCGCGTGTGTGCAGGAGAGTTGCGGGTAGGCAGGGGTGCGGGGTGAAGTGAGGCGTGATGAGGAGCGGTGAGGGGGAAATACCCACAAGGAGAACATCCTTAAAGCCACCAGATAACTATTTGGGGTGATCATGAGTTAGCAGTCACTACATAGCCCATTCTCCCTAAACGATGTTTAGTAAAGTGACTTTGTACGTCCTGATGAGATCAGAAAATTGTTAAGCACAGCCTCATTTAGCATGGACTTACACGACCCTCGGAACAATATGTAGAATCTCTGCTTTCTTTAAAATGCAGTTTTATTTGCCTAGTATTCTAGGAATTTGGAGGAAATTACCAGTTTTTGGGTTGAATTCTTCCATTTTTTTCCTTCCCAGAGAAAATGGTCAAAGAAGAGTATTTGCACTCTTCTCTTCCATTTAACTTTTTTTTTTTTTTTAAAGATTTTATTTATTTGACAGAGAGATACACAGCGAGAGAGGGAACACAAGCAAGGGGAGTGGGAGAGGGAGAAGCAGGCTTCCTGCCGAGCAGGGAGCCTGATGTGGGGCTCGATCCCAGCACCCTGGGATCATGACCTGAGCCGAAGGCAGGCGCTTAACGACTGAGCCACCCAGGCGCCCCCCCATTTAACTTTTTGTTAAAAGGTTTGGGCAGCAAATATGAACCAAGCATTAAGTAATGAGCTCCATTTCTAGGGAGGCTGTCACAACATAGATGTTAGTTTCTAAATCTAAGACCTCCACCCGAGCCTCATCTGTACTTCTGTCTCCTGGCTGCACAAGGATGTCCCCAGGCACCTCACACGCGGTGCGTCCCATCAACTTAGCAGGTTTTCCCCCGAACCTGCCCGTGTTTGACACTGTATCTCGGTTAGTGGCTCGCCTTGTGCACAGTGTCTTGTTCTTCACTCGCACCTGTCAGACCCTTTTCATGCCTGTCTCCTGGTCTGCTCCTTGTCTGGCCTTTCATTTCCACCGTCTTCGTTCAAAGGGTCTCACGTTCCAGGGCAGCATCGTCCTCACCTGTGTCTGCATCTCCAGGCCTTCTCCTCGCCGCGGGTCTTCCGCGCGGTCACCAGAATTACCCGGTTGCGTCCACGCTGTGTAGGCTGGTGTAGCAAGACCACTGCTGTCTGGCCCCATGATCCAGCCTCTCCTGTCCTCAGTGCTTTCATGCAGGCTGCTAATCCAGACACACTCCCACTCCAAAAGACCTAGCCCGGGTGTCTAAAGAGTTTCTTTATTCATGGGTCCGTAGAACTTTGTGATCACGTCCTCTGCTAGCACGTGTCTCGCTGTGTTACAGTTGTTTCTTGATACACTTATATAGTCAGTGTTTACTGAGTTTCTACTATAGACGGCAGAGTACTAAGTGTTGGGGTCCACGGCCCACGTGGAATTTACATTGGGAAGTTGCATTACTTACACTGGGAAACAGACCCCCCAGAAATAAATCAGTGAAGTAAGTGTAAACTTGAGTAAATGCTTGCAACTGATCTTTAGTGCAGGACTAACATAAAGAGTAAAACTCCGTCTGCCAGGGCCTCCCAGTGGCCATGATACTTTGAACAGACCCTCAAGGGAGAGAAGGAGCCTGAAGAGGGCAGAGAATCTTTCCTTCTCAGGCCTCTGCTTGTGCTGTCTCGCCTGCCTGGACCAGGGCTGGCGTCTTTGAGGAGCGGAGAGAGAACCCGGGCGGCTGGAGCATGGGAGTGAGGAGAATGCAGGCGGGAGGGGGTAACTGGTGCGAGATGAGGCTGGAGGCACAGGTCTGGGTCGGTGGACGTAGGTCCTCACGGGGAAGAGTTTGCAGGTGAGCACTAGCTCGCTAGGAAGCCGCTGTCGGTTGCAAGTATAGATGTGACATGATTCCTGATGCGGTTTATGAAGATTATTTTTGCCGCTGGAGAGAGTGCAGTGGGAAGGGTAAGGGCAGGAGGGGAGAGCTGGTTAGAATGCGGGCAGGCATATGGGGGAGGGATGGCTGCGGCCGTGACGTTAGAGATAAGGATGGGAGGTGGAAGATGGAAGATTTATTGTGGGTACAGGACTGGCTGATGGATTCGGCACGTGGGTGACAGCAGTGAGGAAAGGGAGGACCAAGGATGACTCCTAGGTTTCTGGTTTAATGACTCAGTGACTCGTGATACTTTGCAGTGAGGTGGAAGGGGCCGAGGGTAGCTGGTGGGGGCAAGTTTTATTTGGGGGGAGAAACACCCCAACCATTCTGTTTTAGGCATGCTAAGCTTGAGATCTAGGACACGTGAGGGAGGGGGTGTCAGATCGGCAGTTATGTACCTGGGGTTGGAGCTTGGGGGAAAGGTCCATCCAGGTCTGGAGATGTCGCAAATGTGGGAGTCATTACTGTAGAGAGTCTTGCTTGCACGACTGTTTTGAGATCATCCAGAGAGAGATGTGCCCCCGGAAGAGAAAATGTCTTGAGAATGAGGACAAGTGTAAGAGGAAGAGTCCTAAAGGGAGTCGGGACAGGATTCCAGGGGAAAACCAGGGCCTGGGAGGATCCTCTGAAGCAGGGAGTGGATTTCTGCAGAATGATCTGGGTGCTGACCAAGCAAGGGCAGAGGGCTGTCTGGGCAACTGGGCACGGTGAAGGGCAGTCCCAGGGTTCTGGTGGGGAGAGGTGGGCCACCATGCCAGTGGAATGAACTCCAAAGGGAGGAAGCTGGTGTGGTACCTGCAGGACACTTCTTAGAGATGTTTAGCTATGAAGGGGAACTGATAAATGGGAAGTAACTAAAGAGGTACAAGGAATTACAGGCGAATTTTGTTTGCGTTCAGAGTGGGAGGTATTAAAGCACATGGCTGTAACGAGGGGAATGCTCTAGTAGAGAGAGAGAGAGAGAGAGATTGTTGCTGGAGATCGTGGTAATAAATCCACGATATCCTTGAGAAGGTAAGAGGGACACAGAGCACACAACATACCTGAGCTTCCTTCTTGGCCAAGAGCTACTGGAGCCAAGGCTGTGTTTTTTATTCATCTTAAATCCCTAGTCCTTGGCACATAGTAGATACTCACTGAGGTTTCTCATGCTTACCGTGTGTCGAGTGCATCATTGGGCAATGTGACATGGGAGCCTATGGAAGTTGGAAGACCGTGGTCTGGCCTCCTGACCATGGGTGCGTGGGCCCAGGTGACACGAAGCCGATGAGTGGGTGACCAGGCATAAGGAGGAGGTGGACGTGTGCGGGCTGGCTGTGCGGAGCTCCGCCTGGGAAGCGGGGAGAGGATTTGGAGGGGAGGGCAGGGAAGGCAGAGGCCGTCCAGATGAAGCCACCGATGTGCAAGAAGGCACAGATTATGATGTAGAACTTGACTTGGCAGAGAATTTAAATAATGTAAACGTACTTGACTTTTTTATTTCGCTTTCCTACCCACCGTGCACGGTTAGCTTATCAAAATAAACCTGTAATATTTTGTGACTTGCATGTTCTGTCTTTCCTCTTGAAGTTCCTTAGATTGTATTATGTGATTTTAGCGGGGGAAATGGGTAATTACGTTGGTTCTGGTTATCGACCAGGGAGGGTGAAGAGGTGGGTAATCGTATCCTTTCTTCTCCATCCCTCGTGTTGCTTCGGGTTAAAGCGGTCAGTGAGGGAACAACTTCCTCGACGTAAATAATGGAGAACATGCAAAATAAAATATGTCCCCAGTCATGTCACACATCCCACTCATAATAAGTTGAAGAATAGAAACTATATTTGATATAACACCGTATGTTAACTAACTGGAATTAAAATAAAAATGTAAAAAAAGAAACCATG